AAGAGGATACTCCCTTTGAAACTATGTCACCTCAGTGAACTTGGTTGACACCATTGTTTTGTTTTTTTGAGTTATCCTGTAATAAATAAGAAGCAGAAGAAAGAAGAACAAGAAATTCAAACTTTTTGCTATGATATTTACAGCCATTCTCAGAACTTGTGACTCACTCATTACATAGATATTGTTATAAAAGGAAACTGTATAGTATTGTAAAGTTCTAATGATTTATTGAGGAAATATTTAAAATACCATATCGATGAATAATCCGAGCAATTCCTACTTTGGCAATGATACCACTTGCCTGATAAATGAAAAATATAAAAAGAAATTGAAACAAGTTGAAATCTGTATGCAATCCAATGGAAGTACAGTAACACTCTGCCTATAGAAACACCATCCGTTTTTGTAAAACACAAACAACATGCCTAGCAAGACCATCTGCCTATAGAAACACTACTTTTAGTAAGACCATCTTCCTACAGAAACACTGTCTTTAGTGTTACCATCTGCCTATAGAACTTTGGTAACACCGCTCACCTATAGCACCATTTGTAACATCGCCCACCTATAGAACCTTAGTAACACTGTCCTCCTATAAAACTTTGGTAACAGAATCCCAGATTTAATAATTTACTTATAATGTGGAACTGTAATTGTGATAAAACATTTTAGTACTGATAATTGTAAACACAATGTTATAAAAATTAGATAAATAATTAATTTTAGGACTTCGATTGTTACTGTAAAATTGATGACATGTTGAGACACGTTGGTTTACAACACCCTCTAGTGATTAGCCCACAAATTATCTGCACACTCGTCATACTAACACGACCTGTGGTGCCACTTCATGGAAATATAGCGTCACCAATCCTTAAGACAACCGCACCCTCTGGTGTCACTTCTTGGAACTCATCGCCCACTGGTGCCTATTTCGCAACAGTTACGTAACCCACAGGCAGCATTTTTTGTTGCTTAACCCCAGGCGACGGCAGCCTTTGGGCACAAGGGTATCCCCCTAACTAACATACTTTGGTTTAGTATCATTATATGTATTTCCAGTCTTTATTTAAATTCATGCATATTCTTTGTGTTTAAAGTATTGTAAATATGTTATGTTTATGTTAAAGAGTCTTGGCTATTTGCAAGTTTGTATTTGCATATTGCTTTTCTGTATTAAAGTGTATTATTAGCAATACATTTTATTATTATTATACAATTTTTGTGAAAGGGTATTTTATGTTTCTTCATTAAAGGGTATTATGACGTTGCATTCGTTGTTAAAGGACATTTTTGTATTGTATTTAGTGTTAAAGGGCTTGCTTTTTCTATTCATATATTATGTAATGTCGAACGGAAGATATCTTTTATACTAAGTTCTTCATGTAACGTTTCATTTGAATTTAACACGTATTAACAAGGGTTTTCCTTTGTTTACTTAGATTACAGTATTAACTTATATTTTTAATATTATTGTTACATGTGTTTTTTTAATTTGTAATTATTTTAGTATATATTGTTAAATGTAGTTTTTTGTTAAAGGGTTGTGTCATCAAGGTGTTATGTACGTGTTCTTGGGAAGAAATGGAAATTAACTTGCTTCTTGATCATGTCACGGGTTTAAAGCTAACTAGACTTAAGGTTAATTCTAGTTGTCGGCTTGAGGTCAAACCTGAAACGGAGATGAGGGAAAGATGTGGTATATACAAGCATACTGTGTGTTGTATAACATGGTTTTTCCCACCATCTTCTATAGTGCTGAAATCTTTGAATTTTAGAGAAGTTTGTTTCTATCCAGTTCTGACTCAAAACACGTGAGCTAGGAAACTGTTGAAATTTGTCAGTTCTAGTTGTGTTTGTGTCTTTGTTACTTATCTGAGAAGACCACATTATTACAAAGAATCATAATAAGTATTTTAATTTATATATTAAGACTTCCAGGAAATTTAGAACAAATCATGCAATTTGTACAGTAAAGAGGTATAACTGCCAATGTATCTAGACGTCATGACGTTTTGGTTATCAGTATAATTTATAAATATTATAATATTACTGTTTTGAAATAAAATTTGAGAATAACATACCTTGTTTTAAAGCCGGTAATCTCATCCATCTTCCTATAAAAGAAAGGGTGATCGTAGGCGTCGTGAATATTCAATAGCTGTCCTAAAATTAGAATTTTCATAAAAGAAATTGTGAAAAATAATGACGTTATAAAGTTGGCGTAAAGTGTGTTGAAAAATATTTATGGTATGGTGATATAAAGATGCTTAACCAAACGAAAAAGACGGCATTAGTAATTTTTGAAACTCGAACCATTCACTTCCTTTAGTTAGGGTAACACGTGCTTCTCCCACATTTAAAAAACATACCACACTATGTAGAAAATTACTAATTTTCTGTTTGCATTCATACAAATTAATAGCTCCCCAGTAGCCCAGCGGTATGTCTGTGGACTTACAACGCTAAAATCCGGGTTTCGATACCCGTGGTGGACAGAGCACAGATAGCTCCTTGTGTAGCTTTGTGCTTAACTACAAGCAAACAAATTAATATCTCATGAACATCACCATATCTGAAACGCTGATACTTCAAACACAAATATTGATAATAATTAAACGGTTTTGAAACTAATATTGTATTTTCGTTGGTAAATTCACAATTTATATCAAAATGAAAACCACTACGTAACAGAACTATAAATTATGCCAATACGTAGAACACTCGTAAAGACTGCTCCGATCGCCAGGTTTCACACACACTTATTAGCAAAACTCAGTCACAACCCTACTAGCATCATACATTAGCCTACTTTGTTGAAAGAAATGTTTCACTATTTTTATATAATCAAATCTGATAATATTTTGCTTACTATATCTTATTTGTAAATGATACCTTTGTACTCCTTTTATAAATTATGAAAAGCCCCCTGCTTATCTCTGAGCCCACACTGGGGTAAAGTCCACCCTAAGATCCATTAGTTTCAAATTAACAGTGAGAGTTTATGTAAAGTGAAAAGTAATTGCCCTCAAACAATTATTTCACCAAAATAAACAAACAAGTAGACGAACCAATGAAATTAATTCATTGCCTTTACTAGTATACAAACAAAATTTCTGAGCATTTTCGAACGATTTTTGAACTTTGATTTTCCAATCAGGAATCTAAATTTGAAAACTTTTGAAATCAAAATTCTACGAAGTTAAACTAAAACTAAACAGTTTCTACATTCCACATAATGAATGAGTTCGAGCTCACTATAACTTGAAAATTAGTATGAACAAGTTATTCTTGTTTCCTACTTTTGAATTGATTATTTTTCTAGATCATTCAGATACTGAAGAGACTTTATAAACCTAACAGATATTTTCGTTCACTTTTCTTGGCGTAGCCATCTTTTGTTATTCCACGGGAAGCTATCATGCTTGTTTACGTTTTTATTTATTGTTTTCTCTCTTGAGACTCTCTCTTAAGATTCCACGGCACATTTCTGTACTGTATCGTTTAGTGCAGAGTACTGGTTGTTTGTGTATTGAGAAATCAAACAAGCATACATCAGGGACCAGATGAACAGTTTAGAGGGAGTTCAGACAGAATGTTTTTAAAACTGATTGTTATTTTGTGCCTTCGTAAAAATGAAAAAGAAAATAAATCCAATCGAGACTAATCAAGACTATGTTTGTTTGTTTTTTCTCGTACCCGCTTATCCTAGTTTTGATTGTTTTACCAATTATCATATATATTGTTAGGTATCTGCTCGTTTGTTAATTTTCGGTATAAATTCTTTCCGAGGAACTTCAGCGATACAAGTCCTTTCTTAATTAAAACTAGT